ATTGTAAGTTTCTTGAGGCCTCCCAAGAAGCAGAAGTCTGTACAGCCTGCAGAACCATGAGCTGGTTAAACCTCTTTTCTTAATCAATTACCCAGTCCCAGGTATGTCTTTATAGCAGCGTGGGAATGAACTAACACAGTTGCCCAGGCTGGTCTTGAACTTCCGGACTCAAGTGATCCTCCTGCCTCGGCCTCCTAAAGTTCTGGGATTACAGGTATGAGCCACTGTGCCCGGCTATGGTATATTTGGAAAAGTATGAGATGTAATTTCTAGAAATGAAAAATACAGTCATTGAAATGAAAAACTGAAAAGAAAAAAAAGACCCCCAAAACCAAAGACAATTAAAGAATCCAAAAATAATAACAATAATAAAAAGTATTAAAAAATCTCTCTGAATAGGTTAAATAGTAGATTGAACATAGCTGAACAGAGAATTAGGCCAATATAAAATGTATCTGAAGAAATTACACAGAATGCAGCAGATAGAAAGGAAAACATAAATGAAGGGTCAAGTGACCTGAAATAAATAATGAGAAATCTCATTACTTGATATGAGAGATCCAGAAGAAGAGACTAGAAAGAATGTGCATGAAGCAATAGTGGAAGAGGTAACAGCTGAGAATTCTCTAAGATTGATGACAAAAGACATGAGTTGTCAGATTCAGAGAAGGTAAAGGGTATAGCACGATGGGAAAACATGCTATACCTAGACACATCATGGTGAAACTTCAGAACACTATTCAGAACACTAGAAATTTAAAACAAAAGCAGTCTTACCAGTAACTAAGGAGAAGCAACAGATAACCCTTAAAGGTACAACAATTAAGACCAACCAGGGTCTTTTCTTCAGCAATCATCATGGCCAGAGGACAATGAAACTGAATCTTCAAAACACTAAGGGAACACGGGCAATCTAGAATTCCATGTATAGCTAAATTGTGATGCAGAATTGAGGCAAAATAAAATTTACCTTTCATAGTTTTTAATAAAAGACGTCCAAAAGCACATTCTTCAGCAGAAAGAAAATTGCTGTGCGGTGTTCCACTGAATGGCAAGTCAACAATTGTTTACCTGTTTTCCTTTGGTTGACTTTTGGGATGTTTCTATTTTGATAAAAGTGATGGTTTTATGTATTTATGTAACTACTAAAGTTTGTATTACTTTAGTTATTTTATGTGTAAAGCTGTTGTGAACTCTCTAGTTACGTCTCAGTACACTTACACATTCATTTCTCCTTTGCGTACACCTAAGAGTGACAACTGCTGGATTATAGAGTAGGCATATGCTTAATGCTGAATGTTGATTATACATATGTTTAATGTGGAAATGGTCAAAAAGCTTTTCTATTCATACTGAATACTTTTAATGTTTATGTTTAATGTGGAAATGGTCAAAAAGCTTTTCTATTCATACTGAATACTTTTCAGAAACTGGGAATCCCTAAATTTAGGATTGAGAAGGAAATTCCACAAACCTATCCTATGCATAATGCTCCATGGTACAAAATGAGAAATATTTCCTTTAAATTAAGAAAAAAGACAAAAATGTCCATTATCACCATTTGAATTCAATATTGTCTCAGAGGGCATCACAAAAAATATAAATAAAAGATATGAAGATTACAAGTGATTTAAAATATATTATTTGCAGATCATATGGCTGTTTTAATAGAAAATCCTAATGACTCTAAAAACCATTTCTAAAAAGGAGAACTTAGCAATGTGGCTGGATATAAGATTAATACATAAAAACTGCATACCCATATTCCCAACAGCCCACAAGAAAATGCAATGTAAAATAATCTCACTTGTTGTAAGAACTAAGAGGTACATAGGAATAAGTCTATGTGTGAATCTTTCTGGACAAAATTACAAAACACTGCAGTAGGACATAAAAGAAGACCTAAACAAATGAAAAGATAGGGTACATTCATAGGGGAAACTTGATATGGTAAAGATTTGGTTTCCTCTCAAGTTAATTCTATAAGTTCAATGCAGTTCTAATAGAAATCCCAGCAGCGTTTTTCAGAGGTCTCGACAAGCTGAATAAAACGGCAAAAGTAGCCAAGAGAACTCCCAAGAAGAACAAGAAGGGTCAAGTCCCTGCCAGATATTGTCCTATAACTAAAAAAATAATAATAAAACTATATAGCTTAGCCCAGGGATAGACAACTTGACCAGTGGAATGGAACAGAATGCTCAGAAGTAGGCTCAGGCATAAATGGGGACTTGGTACATGACAAAGATGCTATTAAAATTCATTAGATACCTTGCAAAAAACATTTAACTGAAGTCTAATTAAGACTCTAGACTTAAGTTCAAGGAAATATGAAGTAAAATCAATGCAGTATATCATTAGGAAACAGATAAAACTGAATATGATACATTCTATAAGAGAACTGGCCTTCCGAAACAAAATAAAAAGCAAAACAGCTAATGAAAACATTTTGGGGATACCTGGGGGAAATCTGCACGTGGCCAACACAGTCATGATATTTAGCAAATACTATTAATTTTTTAGGTGTGATTATGGTATTGTGGTTATATAGGAGGATGTCTTTATTTTTAAGATGCATAATGAAATATTTAGGGATGAAAGTCATGATATCTGCAACTTACTTGCAAATAGTTCAGCAAAAGCTACATACTCACCTATACACACATACTGATATATGGCAAAATGTTAAAAGTTACTAAATCTAGATGGTTGGTATGCAGAACAGCATGATATTGTTTTTAGTCTTTTCTGTATATAATTTTTTTCATAAAAAATTAGAAAAATCAGAGGGGAAAACATTATATATTCAATAAGGATGCTGAGAAAATGGAATGTCCTTATAAAAATTAATTTCCTAATTCACATTTTGGAAGAAAATAAGAAAAAAGTATACAATATATTTAGAAGAAAAAAATCCCTATTTTGTTGGATTAAGGAAGTATTTCTTAAATAAGGCACATGGCATAATTCATGAGAGAAATACTGGTAAATTTGATTTCACTAAATTAAAGACACATATAAATAAAAGGCACCAAAACAAAGTAAAAAGAAAAGTCAGGGAGACTAGTTAGTATAACTCAGAAAAATTAATATCTTAGAAATATAAGGAACTCACGTCTATCAGTAAAAAATATGGGCAGAAAAATGTGTGCACTCTATTAGAAAAATTCACCCTCAAAGAAGCTCAAACATCCTAAAACATATCCAAAGTTGTGTGATCTTGAAAATAATCAACCAAAATGTGACACTATTGCACATACATGGATTAGCAAAACACAAAGACAAAACAAATACAGTAATGCTTTTAAGGAATGGAAATTCTCATATAATGCTGATGTTCCAGCTACTTTAAAGAAAAATTTGACCGCAGCCAATAACACTGAAGAGTTACATATTAAATCATTTAGAAATTCCGTATCTAGATGATCTCATTCACCTACACAAAGATGTTCACTGCAGTACTGTTTATAATTGCCAATACATAAATAATCCAAATGTTAATTAAGATAAAAATGGGTAATCTGGGTACATCCATAAACTGAGATACTACGCAGTCAAAACAAATAACCTAGAAGTCATATCAATATGGAAAATCTATAAAATATAATGTCAAACAAAAGTCAAGTTGACAAAGAATACACACTACCACAGCATTCCTATAAATTAAAAAAAAAAACAAACCAAACAAACAAATCAACCAACCTAGGCTTTGTGATAAGTATATGGTAGGACGTTTCCAAGATGACTGCGAATGACCCCTGCCTCCTTGCATTTACCTGCGTCGTCCCCTCCCACATCATATCAGGGTCATTCTGTGTGACCAACAGAGTAGGGTAGAAGTGAGAACATGCTGCTTCCAAGATTAGGTGATGAAAACCTGGGGTTTCTGTCCTGGGTGCTCTGTCATGCTCTCTTGGATCACTTGCTCAGGGTTGACCAGAGGACATCAGGCAGTCCTGGGGTGAGGTACAAATGGTGAGGGAAGCGTGGCTCCTGCCACCACGACAGCAAGCTTGGAACTAGCTCCTACAATGGACTTCAGACAGCTGCAGCCTCATAAGCAGTGGTGGGCCAGAGACACCTAGCTAAGCCCCTCATCAATTCCTGGCCCTCAGAAACTCCACGAGATGGCCAGGCATGGTGGCTGACGCCTGTAATCCCAGTACTTTGAGACGCCAAGGTGGGAGGATTGCTTGAGCCCAAGGGTTCAAGACCAGCCTGGGGAACATGCCGAAACCCCGTCTCTACAGAAAATAGCAAAAATGTTCTGGGCGTGGTGCCTGGACTACACATGCCTGTAGTTCCAGGTACTTGGGAGGCTGAGGTGGGAGGATCGCTTGAGCCTGGGAGAAGGTTGCACTGAGCCAAGATCATGCCACTGCACTCCAGCCTGGTAACAGAGTGAGACTCTGTCTTTTAAAAACAAAACAAAAAACAAAGCCAGGCTGGGTGTGGTGGCACATGCTTGTAAACCTAGCACTTTGGGAGGCCATGGCAGGGCAGTCGATCACTTGAGCCTGGGAGCTGGAGACCAGCCTGGTCAACATGGCAAAACCCCCTCTACAGAAAACACAAAAAATTATCTGGGGCAGTGGTGCACACCTGTAGTCCCAGCTACTCAGGAGGTTAAGGTCAGAGGATCACCTGAACCAGGGAGGTTGAGGCTGAAAGGGGGTGAAAAAAGGGGTCCTGATCATGCTATTGCACTATACTCTAGCCTGAGTGAACAGAGCAAGACCCTGTCTCAAAAAAAAAAAAAAAAAAGAAAAGAAAAGAAAAGAAAAGAAAAAGAAAAGAAAAGAAAAGAAAGAAACTGCAGAATGTGATAGAGAGTTGTGACATTGGGGCTAAGTTGTTACATAGCAACAGCTAGTTAATACAAGGTGTTCATGCCCATCTAGTAAAATTATAAGTATATAGTAATTCAGATAAGAATATACACTAATCTCAGGATAATGAGTAATGCTGGGGAAGGGGGTGGGCTGAGACTTTAGCTATACTTGTTTATGTCTAAGACAAATTTTAAAGAAAATATGACAAAATATTAAATCTAGATATTCCATAAATGCACATAGTATATGATTTTCTGTAACTTAAGGTTTTTTTGTTACTTAGACATTCCATAATGAAAAATAAACACTTAAAAAAAGAAAGGCAGTATAGCTATTCCATTTATTAGGGTTCTGTCGAGCACTGTCTGGGGCCTTTAATTGCAGCCCTGAGGAAAGTAATTACTTTAATGGCTAAACAATCCACATGGAAGAGGAGACATATATAAGCGTATTTTCCCACGGCTGGTAGAATCTAACATTTAAGTACCAAAACGTCAAATACATTTTTTTAAAAGGAAGAAAAAGTATATATAAGAGCATCTAGCAAATAACTCACAGTGAAATTCAGGGAAAAAAAGTTGCCCTGCCTAGAGACTCCTAATATTACACCCTTTTCAACAGTAATTCACTTAGTAAACAAATGGTTATTAGACTCTGCAGTATTAAGTGGACACTCTAACAGCTGTTGCCATAGTAGCCTTTACTTTAATGATATTTAACGAGAGAACAGAAATTGTGGGCAAAATTGCTTAAGCTCTTAGATTCCCTTGGTTAAAAAGAAGTAGAATAGTCACAGTTAGGAAATTCAGTGATATTTCAGTCCCGCTTGCTGCCACAGAGAAAGGTCTCACTCAATGATAACTGAACAGGCTGAAAGAGTTACTGCACACGCAAAACGTAAACATTTACTCATAGCAAAGATAAAAAACATGACAATGGGAAGGGTTCCAAGTCTGCTCACAAATGCAAAGTGAGATACGTCGGCGTGGATATTTATGAAGACATGTCACGATGTGTCATATACATACACTGGTTGGGATGATTTTATTTATACAGAATATGAATTGGCCTAATAGTCCATGTGCAATCTTTCCTTTTAATATTTCTATTCTCTCAATTGTTACTTTACTTTTCTGAAATGCCACTCTGCTAAAGCCAGTTAATGAAGCATCCCTTATCTGCTTTATTTACCAGGAGTCCTGTTTTAAGACCATGTTTTAGATATTAAAAAATAGTAACTGAAATCTCTCCTGACCAGAATAATTCAGCTGTGATCACTTGGCATTTGGCCTGTGCACCTCATCCTGGCAGCTCTACACCTGGATTGAGATCAGAGTGAAGGTCTGAGTTGAGGCTCCCAGGATGGCCCAGCACTCTCACCTGTCCTCCAACAGTATCTCATATCCATCAAATTCCTACAAAACCCCCTTTCCTTCAACCACATGGTAATCTTGTATTTCTGTATCGATTCCCAAGTTTTCTTCTATTCTACCTCCTTGTCATTGATTCTTGTTTGACCTCACACTTAATTTTTCTCTCCTTTCACATATCACCAGCACAACTTTGGAATTCCATTCTGCTCCTGACTTCAAATCCAATGTACCAATTTATTTATTTATTTATTTTTTTTCCAGTCCCTTGACATCTTATTTTGAAAGGCTGCAATTCTCCTGGCCACTTTTCTGATTCAGGCTCTTCCTCCACTTGTCTCCAGCAATTCAATCTCATGGCCACTTCGGTGATTTGCCTTTGCCTTGCAGGCTTGGACTGTCAGTCAGGAATACCCAATCCTCCCATTAAGCTGTGTGCGGTGTGAGCACTCCGTTTCAAGCAAACTGTGAAATCTGAAGACATTTTCAAGCTTATGGGGTTTCTCTATCCTCTTGACTTTCTCGTGCCCTCCTGGTTTCTCTGAAGACCTGCCAACCCTTCAGCTAGACTGCAGAGTCATGTTGCAGGCCGCCCTCACACATCTTTCAAAGGAATCCCACGACAAACAGGGGCTCCTTGGTCTCATTATGTTAGGATTTCAAGAAATCGCAGTGATAGGTGTTCATTTCCTATTGCAAAATGAGGACAGCTTTAAGGACAAATTAATGTACACAGCTTATATGTGAAATTTCTTCCTTATTCATTTTGCTTTAACTGTCGAAAAATTGCAATTCAACTCCAAAGCTCCATGGCGTATTTTTACTCCTAGTGACTATCAGGACTCACACTCAGTAAGCATTTCCCATGTGCCAAGCACTGAAGTTTCACATGGATGATGTCATCTAATTCTCTCAGCAATCCCATGATCCATTTTATTGAGAAGATTTTGATCACTGGTGATAGGAATGAGTGAAACAATTCAATGGTAATTGATTTGCCATCAAGAACTGCTTCCAAGTCAGGACATTTACATAAAGGATCTTGTTGGGGATCCCTGTTCACTGCTAGAATCGCTCACCTGCACAGGGGCTCGCTGCGAAGCCCACCCTCTTCCGGGTTCTGTCGAAGATGACGTAGAAGCCCTCCATCACCGTGGCACCGATCACCAGCGCATTTGTGGAAGGGGAAATGCCGAATCGGTAACATTCATAATTCAGGCCGGCCCCCATCATGGGCTGAATGTAAAGCTGTTTGTCGGAGAGGAGAGAGCAAACAAGAAAAAGCACAAATCAGGCAACATCACAAAACTGCTGAGGTCACACTCATGCTCAGGACCCTCCCAGGTGCTGGGGGAAGTCACGGGGAAAGAAAGATGATCTCATTCCTGCCATCCAGGAGGAGAGAAGATCAAAAGCATGGTGATCAATATTATTGATCAGTGACAAAGCAAGTGATCCGTATGCATCCCCTGGAGTTCCACACAGGTGCACACGCCCAGAAGACGTCTATCTGTCTGCTGACAAAAATAGTCAAACTCTGTAAAATATTTTGAAGGGATTTATTCTGAGCCAAGTGTGGATGACCATGGCCCCCCATGAGACAGCCTCAGCAGGTCCTGAAAACATGTGCCCAAGGTGGTTGGTTTTATACAATTTTGAGACACATGAGACATCAAACACTTTTAAGATGTACATTGGTTTGGTTCAGAAAGGCAGGACAAGTCAAAGTGGAGCTTCCAGGTTAGAGGTAAATTTAAAAATTTTCTGGTTGATAATTGGTTAAGTTTATCTAACCTAGGATCAATAGAAAGGAAATGTTTGGACTAAGAGAAAGGATTGTGGAGACCAAAGTTTTATTGTGCAGAGGAAGCTTTTAGCTAATAGGCTGTGAAGAGAAGAGGTTGTGCAATGTGTCTTACAGAATTTAAAAGGGTGCCTTCATATACACCATGGAATACTATGCAGCCATAAAAAAGGATGAGTTCATGTCCTTTGCAGGGACATGGATGAAGCTGAAAACCATCGTTCTCAGCAAACTAACACAGGAACAGAAAACCAAACACCACATGTTCTCACTCACAAGTGGGAGTTGAACAATGAGAACACATGGACATATGGAGGGGAACATCACACACTGGGGCCTGTTAGGGGGTGGGGGACTAGGGGAGGGATAACATTAGGAGAAATACCTAATGTAGGTGGCGGGTTGATGGGTACAACAAACCACCATGCCACATGTATACCTATGTAACAAACGTGCACATTCTGCATACGTACCCCAGAACTTAAAGTATTTATGTATTAAAAAAAATAAAGGTTGCCTGACTCTTAGTTGATTATCTTCTGGATCTGGAAAGAATAAAAAAAGGGAAAAGGGGAGTCTCTGTAGAACGTAGATTTTTCTCACAAGAGACAACTCTGCAGGGCAATTTCAAAATATGAAACAGAAATCTATTTGGGGTTAAAATATTTTGATTTCTTTCCTTATTCGTTATGTGATGTCATGCCAGAGCCAGGCTAGAAAGCAGGCCATGTTATACAAGGTTGAATAAAACCCCTCTGGCAAGACTTTACGGTTTGTAGGGTGAACTCCCCAGGCCCCTTAGGTAGGAATTTGGGCAAGAGAATTAAAAAGAAAGTCAGAGTTTAGTCCTCATGTCCATCTGGCCATCTGGCTATCTGCCCAGAGGTTATCCGCTGAGGACTTCACATGGCTCAGATGCTGCCCTCTGCACCAGCACTATGGTGGTGAAGGACACACAGTCCCACCAGGCACTAACCATAGGGTGGGAAGTGCCGCCACAGACCCCTCTATGGGTACTGCTGACCGCTAATCACTTCCTCTGTGTGGAAACTTCCTTCACTTATACTCTAAGGGGCCACATTCTTCTTCTCCCTAACTCCCTGGCTGCTCCTTCTCAGGCACCTGTATTGGATTTCCCTCACCTTCCTCCCCTGCAAGCATCAGAGCACTCTCAGGTTCTGGCCTCCTCTCAATCTTCCCTCCTTGGGTGACCCATCTGGCCCTACCCCATGGCCCTAGGTCACCCCGTGATCTAGCCTGAGACTCCCAACTCCTCCTCTCCAGCCCAGACCTGGGCCACCATTGCCACACGCTTGTGTCTGCCTGCCTGTCCACCTCTCAATCGGCATCTCCTGTGTAACCTGAACACTGGCTGTTCCCCCCAAATCAGACCCCTCCCACAGTTCTCTGTCTCAGTGAATTCAAGATTCATCCAGTTACTCAGGCCCTAAAGTGCTGGGCCAGTCCTTTTCTCTCTTACCCTACCTGGAGACTGTAACTAGACTCCTGTGAGCCTTCCCGTGAAACTGAAGCGGAATCTAATCACTCCCTCGCCCGACTCAGGCCAAGTCCTCACTGTCCTCATCCTTCGGGATCCACTGCAATCTCTCCTAGCTGGCCCAGAGCCCATCATGCACCCCTCGGGCAGAGAGTTTTAAAAGTAGGCAGCCTGACGGAGGCAGGACGATTTCCTCAGTGAAAAGAGGAAGGAGTAATCAACACCAGAGAGAAGACAGCATCTGTGGGTCACAAGTTCTGCCGTTCAGGAGGGCCAGTTCCCACAGGTGCTGTGCAGTGTTAAATGTAGTCGAGTTGGCCACTGATATCCCTGGAGCCAAGAGTATGCGGGGAAATGGGTCAAACCTTAACACAATCAGTGAGCAAATCAGTATCCTATCAGCAGTAACAATTTCTTGGCTTTTGAATAGCAAATAATTCAAATGCAGGCAATTAGAGAGTATAGCAGCTGAGTATGACAAAATGCCACTTGTTTGGAGAAAAGCAAGAGTGCAAAATGAGTAAGCAAATGAACCTTCCTGTGAGTAATGATTAGCCTTAAAGGGCAGAGGTAGGAAGAAAGACTTGGAGGAAAAAGGCAGACACACTAATACACAAGAGTCCTGGGCCTTCTGGCTGTAGAGGGTTTGAGGGACTGTGAGGGGTGATTTTGGAGGGAGCAGAAAAGACTGAGAAGAGACCAGCAGGGAGGGGCTGCCACGTGACCACTCTGAAGAGCAGGTCAAGTAGGGACAAAGCACAAGCTATGAAGAAACCTCAGAGCTCCCCTGTGGGCTGGCGGCTGCTGTTTTTTAACAGGCCACATAGGATTCAGCCCATGGGCTGTTGGAAAATAGTGTTGAGTATGGACAAAGTTTAAAGTAATTGCTTTGAACTTGACTCTTTTCTGCAGGGGCAATCGTTTGCCCACTTATTAGGGCTCGTGTTTGAGAGATCCCAGGTAGGGCCCCATCCTAAACCTCTGAGGACAAGAACGCTGTCGGTTTCCCTTGGTGTTAGAAAGGCTGCTGGGCAGAGCCTTTCTGCTGGGAAACGTGGAGCGTGTGGGGTCTCACCAGGTGATCTTTCCCAGCTTCCTATGGGAGTCCCCTCCCAGAAAGCGAATGGAAAGCAAGTGGAACGTGATGCTGAGTAAGAAAATCAGGAAAACAGCAGGCAAAGTGGATTTTTAAAAATAAAAAATGGGAACATGTCGAAGTCAACCAAAAAATATCTACCATTATAAGTGAAAGCAATAATGAAATCTTAGGCAGAGATGTGCAAATGAGATGAAATGCTCCCAAACCTCTCTCATTCTGCTCCTGAGCTTGCCCAGTGCTGGGTCCTAAAAGCTATTGAGGAAGTCAAGCAACCCTTCCCAGCTGTGACCCACCTGGACTGAGAGGTTTCCCCCAAATACCTGCCTTCTCCTCCTGCTTCTTATGAGTACTTGGTGCCTGATATTTATTTAGCAGCACACACCTGGGTCCTCAAGCTGGGTTTTGACATTATTACATACCACACTGATGAAATAATGTCCACATTTTGTCGCTGTACCAGCCAAAATGTAATCATCAAGATAACATGATTTTTTTTTTTTTTTGAGATGGAGTCTCATGCTGTCATCCAGGCTGGAGTGCAGTGGCACGATCTCAGCTCACTGCAACCTCTGCCTCCCAGGTTCAAGCGATTCTCCTGCCTCAGCCTCCCAGGTAGCTGAGTCCACATCACCAAGCCCAGTTAATTTTTTGTATTTTTAGTAGAGATGGGGTTTCACCGTGTTTCCCAGGCTAGTCTCAAACTCCTGACCTTGTGATTCACCCTCCTCGGCCTCCCAAAGTGCTGGGATTACAGGCGTGAGCCATGGCGCCGGGCCAAGAGCACATGATATTAAAGATGCTGAAAACATAGCATTGTAGCATCACTTAGTGCAGTGCCATTCACCCAAGGATACTGCATTCTTCTGAAAATGTCTTTGGTAGGTATTATTGTTTCTCCTTTATAGTTAAAGAGACACAGGCAGGGCTAAATGCTTTGCTCAAAGTTACGGCGTGAGGGAAGGGCAGTGCTGAGCGTGTAACTCAAGCCTCTCCTGAGAGCGTGGTGTCTCCTATTGGCCTGAATTTCTCCTGAAGCTTTCAATCCTTTCCCCAAGATCTCTCCTTTTCTGGAAAGCACATCCCTACAATGTAAAGATGAAAATGGGAAAAGGCAGTAGTATCATTTACTTTTTTTCTCCTGAAATTACGCCTCCTTCCTTGTCCCTGCAGTCCAACTCCCTTTATCTCAAAGTCATCAAATTGCAACAAAGACACATTGATGTGTCCATTCCACAAACAGTTCTGATGCACTTTCCCTCCACTGCCTGGTGGAGCTGGGGAAGGAAGGACGATCTTTTACACCCCACAGTTCTCATCTTCAAGGAATTTATAATTAATTGAAAACGAAATAGAAGTTAAGAAAAGAGAAGTCAAATGAAAAAGGCAACGGCATAAAACGTACCCTAAAGATAAGATTCCACGCCAGATGAGCAGACCAGAAAATATGCGTGCTGAGTGGGAGGTGCAACCTCACAAATGGGTTATTCTGCTCGGCATAGTTTCAACAAAAGCTGGGTTGTTTGAGTTGAGTCTTAAAGGATGGGAAGAATCTGGATATACGGGTGGAGTACGGAAGGGAGGGCATTTCAGGCAGGGGGGTTGGTGGAACAGAGCTTACGAGAGAGGCCTTGAGGGTCAGTGGCCACCCGGCAGAGGGTCGGGGTACAGCAAAAACACTGGGGAACTAGGAGGGGTCTGGTGGGAGGCCACGGACAGCGATGCCAGGAGCGAGCCCTGAGCATTTAAATTGTGGGGACGCACTGCTTACTCATAGCAGGGGAGGCTCGGGTGAAAGTGGTGGTCTAGGAAGATTAATCTGACGACAGTTTCAAAAAGAAGAGAGGGTCGGGGCTTGGGAGCACAGCAGTACTCTGCAGGTTGCAGAGGTGCTGGTGAGAGCCACACGTGTGAGGGCTCAGTAACGGAGGGGAGGAGGAAGAGGTGAGAAATGGAACTGAGGAAGACAGACGTGGTCCATTTCATTAGACGTGTAGGATAAACAGGGAGTCAGTGGGTACTGGGAGTGTAGGAAAAAAATGACGTCTTCATCTTGGACATTCCAGTTTTTTTT